CTTAGGCTAGACTCTAATTCCATTCCCCCATGATGGCTGTTTCCTGTGTGTCCAACTCTCCTCAAATTGTTCACCCCACTCCTACCTCTGTCTCCAGTGACCTTAACGTCTCCTTCCCTGGGAGAGTGAAGCACATCAGGTTCACTGCTCTTTTCTTTGCTTCTAACAGGATCCACATGGTATTTCCAAGACCAGTCTTCCCCCAAGCTCTCCCTCCCACACTCTCTGGCCTCCCCCAGGAGGATCCAGTTCAATAAATTATCCCTCTTTCTCTGATTCTCTAATCCTTCCCTTGTGTGGTTCCTTTCCTTCAGCCCACAAGCATAATTCTTTCTCATTCTGGAAAACCTTTACCTTCTCTCTCCTCAGAGTTCCCACCCTGCCCTTCGCAAACTTCTTGAAAGGAGCCCGAATTTTGTGCCTCTATTTCCTCAGCTTCTTTTACTACCCACTAAGTCTGGATTCCATCCCCATCAGTCTACTGAAACTGTCCCCACTAAGGTTACCAGTGACTTCTTGTTGGATTATTAAATGACATATTTTTGATCTTCTCCTGAATTGACCTACCTCCTGATATTTGACCAGTTTCTGCAACTCCTTCTTAAAATTCTTGTAATTTCATTGGCATTTCTGTTTCCTGATGCTTTCTAGCTGCCTCCTCTGACCTCTTGTCATCAGACCCATCCTAAATACCATTGTGCTTTGAATTTAGGCCTGACCCTGCTGCTCAGCCTTCCTGACCATCAGCTTCCTTCCGTTAGCTTTTTAGTGAGAGGAGGTATGAGTGTGACCCATAGCTGCTCAGCAGAGCTCTGCAGAATGAAACCACTGGTCTCTCTGATTGCCTACAGAGCACGTAGCCTCGACCCAAAGGAACAGATTTCTAATGGTGGAAACTCAGGCATTGGGCCCTTGGTGGACTGGATGTAGGTAGGTCTTGTAGATGACCCCCATATTACCCCACAGGAGGCCAGGCCTTTCCCTGCTCCAAGACTCAGCCAACTTGGGGGACATAGAACTGCGGCCTATAAAGGCTGGGTGCCCACAGGTCTGCTCCATATTACATTCCAGAGTCTTCCATGCTGACACATGGAGCTCTGATTGATTTGTCTTCATAGCTCTATGGTTTCCTGCTGCATGGATATGCTCCCATCTCCATTCTCTTGATGAACATTAAGATTATTTCCAGTTTTGAGGTATTTCCCATACTGCTGCCATAACACTCTCATGCTGGTCTCCTCTCGCACACATGCAGGGATTTCTCCAGGGTCTATGTGCATCTTGAATTTTACTGGTTAATGCCATGTTGCTCCCAAAGGCTGTACATTCCTGCTGACATGCAACATCGTCCCCAACATTCTAGCCAAAGGAAAAGGCACAAGCCCTGCCTGCCTCAATTCAGATACCTACTTCCTTTTCTTTGCTACCAGGTTGCTAGGTGATGGTTGAACCTTCCACATGACTATGTGGAAAAGATACCAGACTCCCTATGCCTGGTTCCACCCTCACTTGGGCCCTCAGTGCTGTTTATCAGCCTTCTTGCTTGAGCCCTACTGGGAGAAGTCCCCATACCCTACAGTGAGGCTATTTCTACTTTTTCCAGGATTGGCACTTTCTCTCTAAGTGCCTGCTTCCACGGCCAGCTACATAATATGTGGAACCCAGTGCCAATGAAAATGTAACGCCCCTTGTTCACGAAGCAAGAAAAAGCTTTTTCCTTTTCCCCCAGTCTCTCTCTACTTGTATGGTGGTTTTTTGTTTTTTGTTTTTTAATTTGCTATTTAATGCTGCTCTTCCTCGGGCACAAGAGATCCTTACAGCTCAAGTGCAGATCCTCTCAGTGCCTGAGGCTCTGCCCTCTGCTGAGCAGCCACTGGTCACATTCACACCTCCTCTCACTAAAAAGCTCACAGAGGGAAGCTGATGGGCAGGAAGGCTGAGCAGCATCACTTCACACAGACGCCCAACCCTGATCCTTCCCGTATCTGCACCCAGACCCATGCCAGGATGGGTGCAGTCCCTGGGTGGAGGGGCAGGTGGCCCAGAACTTGTCCCAGGGAGGTGGGGAGGTGGAGGGAGGTAGGACCTCAAGTGAATGGAGGCTCCCAGCTCCTGGCACGTGAATTTTACTAGTTAATACCAAGTTGCTGCTAAAGGCTGTACATTCGTACCAGCATGCAACATATTTCTAACCAAAGGAAAAGGCGCAAGTCACACCTGCCTCAATTCAGATACCTACTTCCTTTTCTTTGCTAGGTGTTGTCCCATCAGGTATCACTTACAAAACACAAACTCAATGATAGAATTATTAAGGATTTCGAGATGGTGACTGAAGAGCATTAAACTTCAAGCTCAGGGTCCTGTGCAGCTGCCTGATTCACTCCTCAGACCCAGTGCCCAAGACCCCCTCGCCTGTCATAGCCTGGATTCACTGGAGGCCCTGGTGCGTGTATATTGAGTTTCACTGGCACAGATGTCATGGTTTCTGCAAAAAGATCCCCAAATAATTGTTTGTGTCTATTTGGAGTTTGTATTTGCCCCTTTCTTCTCAGTGGCCTCAGCCACTTAACCTAATTCTTCTCTTTGTTTCTGTAGTGTAATAATAGTTTTGTTCGTGATGGTTACAGTCATGTCACTAAGGCTTTGGGTACCAAAATAATGTTTAAAACGATTTGATGGAAAAGTACAGAAATCCCACTACAGACTAAGCTGGCTAAAGCTCTGTTTCGCTGATCCATTGTGTGGCTCCTTGTCTAATGTAGTGAAACATGAAGTGAGCATGATAACCACTAGTAAAAGTAAAGGTGATTTTTGACTAATGAAACTATATTCCTATCAAAATAATAATGTCATATTAAGAAATAGTGTAAAGTTACTTTCAAAATATTTCCAGATTTGTTTTTAAAACTATAAGACTATTTTCTCAACAAATATTATCGAGAATAGAAAAATCAATTTCACATTGTTTCATATGAGTAGAAGGCAATCTCTTCTTAACGTGAACTGAAATTGGCTTTGTGTCAGAATGAAAAATTTGAAAATAACTCCAGGATTTCCTGAGATTCAGCAGCTAAAGATTTTGTAAGAGAAATCCTGTTTAGTGTGTGTATAAATATTCTTGCTGTTTTAAAATCAATATTTGCCCAAAGAACGGCATTTCTAAAAATAAATTTGGTTTGTTTTGTTTTCTTTTTCTTTTCTTCATCTTTTAAAGTAATTGGGGCTGACATAGGGTTTTGTTTTTTTTTTTCTATTCCTAGCCACTAAAACTTTCCAAAATGCTACGTTCTGTGCTGTTAGTGGTAGCGTTTGCAGAAAAAATAATAGATTGTAAAGGAAGCAACATGGAACACCCACGTTTTTGTTATTCAAAATGCAGCTACACGTGTTTACAGTTCTTAACCATTTCCTCTGACAGCCTGGGGAGACAGACTTCTAATTTGTGTTTTGATAAACTGAGAGCGACAGAGCAGTTGTTGGCCCTGCTTGGAGGTGGAGTGATGGTGTGGTCAGAAGGGAAGCCTGGAAGTTACACTCACAGGGTGTGTGTTATGTGACCTTTGTTTAATACACATTCTTATTTTATCCTCACAACCATGCCACTTGGCACGTGGGGAAGCTGAGGTGCAGGGCAGGGTAGTCACTTGGCCAATGCCACAAGTGGAGAAGCTGCAGGGCCCGTCCAGCTGACACCACTCTGTCCCTCTCGAGAACAGCAGGGAATTGGGTGCTACTGAGCCCTGTAGTCTGGGGGAGGAAGCTGCGTGTTCTCTGAGGGCATGTATGCCTCTAGTCTGGTTCTCCTTTCTTTGTTCTCCTTTCAGTTGTCCTTGGTCACTCCACTTGATCACGTGGAGAGAATTGGCAGTTTTTGTCCCTGAGTGCTCTGTGAGGGCTGAGGTTCCCCCAGCTGCAGAGCTTTAGGGGAAGTTCAGTTTATCTGATGGAAGAAGGTGAATGGCCCTGACAGCCTGTCCCCAGAGGTCAGCCCTCGGGGAGTGAGCGGTGTTCAGTGGGTGAGGCTCCCCCATGCAGCCTGACAAGAGCTGCAAGTGTCCTGCTGATCAGGAACCCGAGGCCAGGGAGAAGTGATCTGCCCAGGACCCCACACAGACTGTGTGGCAGAGTGTGGCTCCCGCACTGGGCTTCTGGCAGCCTTTGCTCCAGTCAGCATGGACCATGCAGCTGCAAATGGTTGTAGATGCCACTTGTAGGACTGCTGGGTGTTGGTATCTTGGCGTCATTTGTAGGAACCCAGTTTTCAGATTCCTTCCTGGGCTGGGGTCGCCGCGAGAGACCACTCGACACGGAAGTCACAGCGGAGAGATTTATTGCTAGCGCGCTAGGGTCCTATGTCCGAAGTTGGCCACAGGACCCCGAATGCTTGTTACAGACAGTTTATAAAGGCAAAAAACCACAAAAATTCACAAAGCTTGAGGCGCAAGATGATTGGAGTAGGTTATGACCTGAGCAAGATGTCTTACTTTAATTGGTTGGTTTGAACCTGGTTTGAACCCGCGCGGGGTATTTCCCGGACTTGTTCTTCTGTTTGAGTTCCAGGAATATGGGTGGGTGTTTTAGATAGCCACACGGACATCAGGCGGGTGCTTTAGATGGCCACCTGGTCATTGGGTGGGTGCTTTTAGATAGCCACCTGGTGTGGCTTTTCTAAGCTTCTAAGTTTCTAAGTCTCTAAGTCTCTGAGCTTCTAAGTCTATAAGTTTCTAAGCTTCTAAGTTTCTAAGTCTATAAGTTTCTAAGTCTCTGAATCTATTTTCATTTCTCATTTATTAGGAGCCTTGGAGCCACATTTTCCTTGGGAATTGATTATATGTTTCCCCAAACTAAATTCACTCACTGATATTTGAGATCTTGGGATCTTGAGTATTTGTCTCATGTCTCACCCCAACTTTGTTCTAGATTTGGGGTGAATAGGTGGGAGCAGTTCACCTGAAATTCCTTAGAACAAGACTTACTAACTATGTCTCTCTGGCCTGTAGGAGCTAAGGGACTTTCTGAAGACCCCAGGGCTGAGATGCCCTGGGGATGATCCTGTCCAGCCAGGGCTACAAGGCGAGCTCCCACGGTCACTGTGGCTCTTCACCCTGCCAGCCTCTTCCACCTCTCTGGCTTGCGTGGCCCCGACCCTTCAAGGATCAGCAGCATTTCTGAGATGCCGAGGGACAGGAAAGCCCAGGTGAGAAAGATGCCGAATTTGACAGTTGTCCCCAGCCACTTACCTAGTTCCCTGCAGTCTTTCAGATTCCTGGCCCCAACCTCAGCTTAGACACTCTCGACACCTCTCATTCAGCTCCTGGAGTCTCCAGGAGGCTCCCCAGCCCCCAGCCTTGATTGCCCTCAGAACTCTGTCTCTTGAATCTGGAGCCAAACCTGCTTCTAGTTCATGCCTGCCCAGCAGACCTGGGGCGCCTCCAGACCCAGCTCCTGAGTGGTCCCTGGTTTCTTACCGAAGTGTCAACCTTCTGATTTCCTGCATTTGGCCCTCTTCTCTAGAGCCACATACTCCTTGTTCCTGTCTGGACCATCCCACGTCAAGTGGGGTCAAGGCCCGAGAGCAATGGCTCTCACCTGTAATCCCAGCACTTAGGGAAGCTGAGGTGGGAGGATTGCTTGAGCCCAGGAGGTGGAGGCTGTAGTGAGCTATGGATCACTTGAGCTGAGTGATGGATCACTCGGCTGAGGCAGATGGATCGCTTGAGCTCAGGAGTTCGAGACCAGTCTGGGCAACATAGCAAAACCCTGTCTCTGCTAAAAATACAAAAATTAGCCGGGCGTGGTGCACGCCTGTAGTTCCAGCTACTTGAGAGACTGAGGTGGGAGAATCGCTTGAAACCAGGGGTTGAAATCGTGCCACTGCACTCCAGCCTGGGGCACAGAGCGAGACTCTGTCTCAAAAATAATAATAAAAATAATAATTTAAAAAGTGGGATCATGGAAAGCCTTGTCAGGAACCACCAGCGAACCTCATACTTTGTCAGGTAGCTGTGGGGTGAGGCCAGACTTGGGTCAGGTGGGACCCCAATAGACAGAAGATAGGAGAGACAGCGGGACATGGGGCTACCCCAGAGCCAAACCAAGGAAGCCTAACCCTGATGTGGGGTCCACAGCAGGGACACAGGTAACACAGTCAAGAAAGCTGAAGCCTATGAAGGGTGGCTAGGAGGGAGGTAGTGAGTGAAAAGCAGAAACCAGAAGCCAGCTGGAGCAGCTGAGGGGCTCTGGCTTCTGAGCATCTCAGATGGGGACTTTTGGGAAGGTAGCGTGGAGCCATAGTTCTGACTAGGGTCTGCCCCCTGGGCTGTGATGCACAGCATGGCCCCATCCTTTGCTGTCACCTCTATGCCCACTAGGGTTGCTCCTCCTCTGCCACCTATCAGGCCACCTTCTGAATCTTTCCACTCACTTGTACACTCTTGCTCTTCCCTGCAAGCCCAGCCTTTGCTCCCAGCCCAGGCTGCTGCACCTCTGGCCCCAGGCTGCTATAGGAGCTGCCCTTTTAGAAGAAGCTGTGATGTGACCTGCGACTTGGTTCAGGCCCTCTTGAAGCTTGGCCAGCCTTGGCTGCTTTCTGATCCTGGCCAGAATTCACACACATGTCCCTATTTGGTTTTGGCCAAGGTCTCAGTGGCTTCAGTTGAGAATGTCTGGCCCTGCCCTGTCCTATCCTGAGTTCTCTCTCCCTTCACTAAGAGATGGAGTTCTGCAGTTCTACCTGGGCCACTTTTGGCACCCAATCTGGCCAGCCCTGCTCTTGCTTCATGATATCTCAGGGCTGATGCCACAGAGATGAAGCTGTGAAAACTTGAGGGCAAGGGCTTGTCCTTGTTTACCACTGAGTCCACAGTGTCAGCACTTAGTGGGCACACCGTAACTATTTGGATAGGGGCCTGAGCTCCCATCAAGGAGGTGGGTGGTCTCAGGGTCAGAACCGTGATTCCCCTCCACCTGGTGCCACTTAGATGCACACACCAGTGTGGGATTCACAGCTTGCCTCAGGGCTCCAAGGATCGGTCTTAGATCTCAGGTGCCTATGTCCTCCTCCATCTGACTCTGCAGTTAGCCTTAGTGCCCTGCTCATTTTCACACCCTTGTGTCCCCAGTTGCAGTGGCCAGGAGAGCTCTTCTGTTAAGATACAAGTGCATTTGTACTGGGGAGACGTGTGCTGTGGCAATGTGCTGTGCCTTGTGTAGGTGCTCATCCTGGGGAGAGGCCACTTCATTTTGCCCTGCTTACTGGGGTGGCCATTCTGGGCATATGGTTTCAATTAAAATGCATCAGCAGGATTGCTAGGTTACTTGGCCAAGTGGTGTCACCTGATGTCTAATGGATGAGAGATCTAAACAACAGACCTTTCCCACCATTTGAGGAGCTGAGCTCGGTTAGGAGTGCCTGGGAGCATGGGAGGTGAGCTCAAAGTCTATGGAGCCACTGTGCCAGGCTAGAGAGCAGGGCAAGTTCTGTGGAGTCAATGGAGGTCAGCGGGGCACCGAGAATGGCCTAGAGAGGAAGTGCAGATCTCCACCACACATGCCCTTCTCCCCCCTCTGCAGCTTGGCCCCTTTCAAAGTCAGGGGAACTTCCTGAGGAAATGGAGCCCTAGCAGGGCCCAGAGGAAAGGGTGACTCTCACTAGACGTATCACCTTACTTCCCAGGCACATTTGAAAATCCCCCTGCAGGGAGTTTCCACAGACCAGATTATTTCGTGAATGCCCATGAGAGACTGTGTGATTAATTAATTAATTAATTATTTTTTGAGATGGAGTCTCACTCTTTCGCCCAGGCTGGAGTGCAGTGGCACCATCTTGGCTCACTGCACTCTCTGCCTCCCAGGTTCAAGCGCTTCTCCTGCCTCAGCCTCCCAAGTAGCTGGGATTACAGGCGCTGCTACCACACCCAGCTAATTTTTGTATTTTTAGTAGAGACGCGGTTTCACCATATTGGCTGGGCTGGTCTCAAACTCTTGACCTCAGGTGATACAGCTGCCTCGGCCTCCCAAAGTGCTGGGATTACAGACCTAAGCCACCGTGCCTGGCTCAAGTGTCTGATTTAAAGGGACACCCAGGACACTTATTCATCAAATGACTTATTCCTTTGTCACATAAGTGTCATATAACCCAACACATATGTCCATTTTGTAGTTGGATATTTTTTTAAACTAGTCAAGTGCAGTGGCAAGAAGGGGGAAAGAGTAGAACAAGGAGTTCAACCTGTAACTGACAGTGAGCAATCAACTGAGATAACACACTACCTTCGAACCAGCCCATGTGGTTGGATTTTTGAATCAAGCTTTTCTTTAGTAAGAGTAACGCTATCAAGGAAAATCCACAGGGGTGAGGGCAGATCATAGAGGTTGGCAGGACCAGCATCGAAGTGAAGGATTGCATGTGTAAGCTAGTCCATACTTTGGTTTACACAAATCTATGGGAACTATCACTACCGAAGGCCCTCGTGGTGCTTGAATGCAACAGAAATGAGCTTCATCATGTTGAATCAAGTGTTTGGCCTCCGAAAGTCAAGACTTGGTGGCCACGCAGGATTCTGGCCTGGCTTCTAGAAGGGAGAGCTCCAGCTCTGGCTTAGCAAGGTTGTCAGCCTCGGGGTGCCTCAACCAGAATGATGGTGACCACAGACCACAGAGACTTCAATCAGGTCAGTGTGGTAAACATTGGAATCTAGGTTCAGCAGGTTTGGAGGAGCACCTTGCACACAGCATTGGCTTCCTCGCTTCAGAAGTAAATGGTTCTCTGTGGATTACATAAGGATCATCTTGTCCAACAGCCCCAACTTGAAGGGTGAGCCCTGGGGGTTCAGTTCCTTCACAGTCAAGTGTAGCTCACCATCTCACCTCTGCCTTATCCTGTTCCTCAGCAGTGCTGGGAGTCTTCCTGGAGTGAGTCACCATGAATTCTACAAACAAGGTAGAAATGGCAGTGGTGTTATTGCCCCACAGTTGGGTAGACTCCCCCAAGATCCAGATGTGATCAGCCCTTGTCCTAATGATAGACCGGCCCCTCTCCTACCACCCACGGAAGCTGCCTCATCATTGCCATTATCCACTTTCTCAACAGGAGAGACTTGATACAGAAGGCAGAGTCCCTGCCCTCAAAGAACATGGGACAAGTTGGGGAGGTGTAACTGAGTTGGTAAAGAACCCCTGGGTGGTAGAGGAGAGTGAATTCATAGATTCTGTAGATAAACCCTAAGGAGTGACTGGTTGTCCCCCTGGGGCCAAGAGCTGCTACCTCCCTCCCCTCCTCCGTCTTTTGCACAGCTTTATTGAGCATAATTGATATACAGTAAACTGCACACTTTGATGGATTTTTGACATACGTCTGCCCTGTGAAACCAGCACCACAGTGGACAATGACTATCTCCATCACTCATTTCCTTGTACCCATGGAAATCCTTGCTTGCTGCCCTCCTGCCCCCAGTCAACCACTGATCTGCTGTCAGTCACTACGGATTAGTTCACATTTTCTAGAATTGTATGTATGTAGAATCATGCAGTATGTGCACTTTTTTGGGTCTGTCTTCTTTCACTCAATGTCATTGTTTTAAGGCTCATCCATATCATTGTATAAACAGTTTGTTCCTTTCTATTGCTGAGTAGTATTCCATTATATGAATATACCACAATTTGTTTATCCATTCATTAGTCAGTGGACTTTTTGAGTTCTTTCTAGTTTGGGGGCTATTACGAATAAAGTTGCTATGACTGTTCACTCACAAGTATTTATGTGAATATATGCTTTTATTTCTCTTGGCAGAGTACCTAGAAATCGAATAACTGGCGTATGTTCAACTTTTTTTTTTTTTTTGAAACCAAGTCTTGCTCTGTCGCCCAGGCTGGAGTGCAGTGGCACGATCTCAGCTCACTAGAAGCTCCACCACCTGGGTTCATGCCATTCTCCTGCCTCAGCCTTCCAAGTAGCTGGGACTATAGGCACCTGCCACCACACCTGGCTAATCTTTTGTATTTTTAGTAGAGACGGGGTTTCACCGTGTTAGCCAGGATGGTCTCGATCTCCTGACCTCGTGATCCACCCACCTTGGCCTCCCAAAGTGCTAGGATTACAGGCGTGAGCCACTGCGCCTAGCCGTATGTTCAACTTTTAAAGAAACTGCTAACTGTTTTCCAAAGTGGTTGAACCATTTTCTATCCACACCAGCTGTTTATGAGAGTTGCAGCTGCTCTATATCCTTGTCAACACAAGGTATGGTCAGTCTTTTTAATTTTAGCCATTCTAGTGGGTGTGTAGTAGTATCTCATTGTAATTTTAATTTGTACTTCTCTAATGACTAATGATGTTGAACATCTTTTCATATGCTTACTTGCCATCCAAACATCTTGTTTGGTGAAGTGTCTCTTCAAATTCTTTACCCTTTTTATTGGTTTTTTTTTTGTATTTTGAGACAGTTTCGCTCTGTCTCCCAGGCTGGAGTGCAGTGGCACCATCTCAGCTCACTGAAACCTCTGCCTCCGGGTTCAAGAGATTCTCATGCCTCAGCCTCCCAAGTAGCTGGGATTACAGGTGCCCATGACCACACCTGGCTAATTTTTGTATTTTTAGTAGAGACGAGGTTTCACCATATTGGCCAGGCTGGCCTTGAACTCCTGACCTCAAGTGATCCTCCCACCTCGGCCTCCCAAAGTGCTGGGACTACAGGTGTGAGCCACTGCACTTGGCCCATACTTCTTCATTTTTGTAGCAGTGCATTTTGAAGCACAAAAGTTTTAAATCTTTTTTATTTTTATTTTATTTTATTTATTTTGTACAAGAGCACAAGTCCATGTTTATTTATTGACTTTTCATTAGTTTAAATCCTTGAGGGGTACAGCATCACTCGGATTCTGTGTCCCCATGACAGGCTTCCTGCCTTAGCAGGATGATTCCTTCGGAACTTGGTACCAAACATGCCACTGTTTCCATGGGCTTGAGTTACCTTTCCCCAGGTTACTCTGGTTTTGTTTTGTTTGCCGCCAGGAGTCACTGTGTTGTTCTTTGCTTTGTATACATAAGTGCGTCTCTTGTCCAAATAGAATTCGGTTTCATCTCGGGCATAATCATCTTTAATTTTAAGAAGAGCTGTGTGCTCCCTTTGGTTCTGGAGACCGCGCTTACACCCAGCAAAAATGGCCTTGAACCACAGCCTTCCACACATATTTTCTTTTAGAAGTCCTGTTCCCAGTAGGCTTCCACATGATCCAAGATGGCAGGAAGTTTTTTTATTTCTATTTTTATTTTTTTGAGATGGACTCTTACTCTGTTGCCTAGGCTGGAGTGCAGTGGCATGATCTCAGCTCCAGAGTTCACGTAATTCTTGTACTTCAGCTTCCCGAGTAGCTGGGATTACAGGTGCATGCCACCACACCCAGCTAATTTTTGTATTTTTAGTAGAGACAGGGTTTCACCATGTTGGCCAGGTTGGTCTTGAACTCCTGACCTCAAGTGATCTGCCCACTCGGCCACCCAAAATGCTGGGATTACAGGCATGAGCCACTGTACCCAGCCCACAAAAGTTTTAAATCATGATGATGATTTTTAGATCAAGGTATTGATGTTTATCTTTACAGCTTGTGCTTTTTGTGTACTTTTAGGAAATCTTTGTAAATCCAAAGCCACAAAGAATTTCTCCTATGTTCTCTTCTGGTTGTTTTATAGTTTTAGTTCTTACATTTAGGTCCATGATTCATTTTGAGTTAATTGTTGTCTATGGTATGAGGTAAGGGTCTTGGTTCAGCCATTTTGTTTTTAAGATTCCTGGTGCTCTGAGTCAGTATTCTGCCCTCTCCCCACTACACCTCTGTCTCCACCTCTTCATGAAACTGCCATCTATTCCAGTCTCTGATGTCTCCTATAATACATTCTTCAGCCGCTGACCTCCTGCTGTACACTTAAGCACTCGGTGGGGACAGAGATCCCTCTCACCCTGCTCTGGATGTCATGGAGCCTCATTTGGTGTTGGTCACAGAGGCAAAGACTAGATGGCATACCTTTGAGGCCATTCTACTCTTGATGGCTGTTTATTTCTGGTGACAATTTGCCATCCCATATATTCATCTGCAGCAGTGACTGCCAAAGGATATGGAAGTTCCCACAGGGAGAGAAAACCAACCAGATGTCAGCTGGCCTGATACCCTTGTTGGCACGTGCATACCACCCCTGTGCATGAAAGGTATGCAGCCTTCCAGAGTGAGGGCAGATGTTGTCTTCATTTTAGGAGTGAGAAAACTGGGATTTCACAAGATCCAGTGGCCTGCTTAAGGTCACTCAACTGGCTTATCACACAGGACCTGACTCCAGAACATGCCTCGACCTCTGGGCTGCACTGCCAGGCCCCTGGCTGTCACTGTTGTGGAAAGGCCTGGGCTCAGACCTCCTGCTCCCAGGACAGAAGTCTCCACCCTGTAAATGCTGCAAGTTGCATGTGGAATTTTCCTACCACCAAGGCAAAATGCAGCCCTACATTCTTTTATGGTTTCAAAGGAAAGGAACTTCAATGGATGAGGAGTTTCAAAGGGTGTATTTAAGTCTTGGGTGCAAGTCAAAGAACTAGGTTTGGGAGGGGCTGGTTGGCCCCTTTTCAAATGGATCCAGGCTTTATTTTTTTCTTCTGCCCTTTGTTGGGTCTAGAAAGGGAGTGCTCCTGGAGGGTTTGGGTGTCAGTTCACAGCACCAAGGCTGTGGAGGAGAGGAAGTAAAGGCTGCCTGGATGTACCTTCCTTCAGTTCTGCTTGCAGCAGGCCCTCCACAATGCCTTGCTGACCCCTTCAGGACCTAAGTCTCTCAACCTGGCCAATTTCCAACCTTTTTCCCAGCCTTTTCATTTGAGTCTCTGTCCACCCAGCCAGGGTGGACACCCACACCCTTTACTAGGTGAATACTCTTCTCCTAACCCTCGGCTCTGCATGCACGAATGCCCTTCCTCTCAGGGGACCAAGACCCAGCTTGGATCCCAGTTTCTGTGAGGTGGGCAGGCCTGTTTCCTGCCCTGTCACCCCTCAGGCTTGGCCACCCTTCCATGTGCTAAGCCTGTCTGCAAGGCTCAGTCTTGCAAAACCTCTTCACCTGTGACCTGAAACTGGTAATTAAGCATCATCTCATTTCCCTCTGCATAGCTTTCCCATGTGTCTTATCTTCCCACTTAAATTGTAAACTCCTGGGCACAGACAGGTCTGACTCTTCCTCATTCCATCATATCTCCTCTTCATCTGGCATCCTCCACACCACCCAAATCTATATGGATTGTTATTGTTGTTGTTTTTGAGACAGAGTCTTGCTCTGTTGCCCAGGCTGGAGTGCAGTGATGTGATCTTGGCTCACTGCAACCTCCGCCTCCCGGGTTCAAGTGATTCTCATGCCTCAGCCTCCTAAGTAGCTGGGACTACCGGTGAGCACCACCACGCCTGGCTAATTTTTTTGTATTTTTAGTACAGATGGGATTTCGCCATGTTTCCCAGGCTGATCTCGAACTCCTGAGCTCAGGCAATCCACCCACCTTGACCTCTCAAAGTGCTGGGATTACAGGTGTGAGCCACTGCGTCCGGCCAGTATGGATTGTCTCAGTGTGATTTGCCCATGTCCAAGTTTTGGCAGGAGAAGCTGGGAGGTTTGCAAGCTGCAGTTTACAGTTTTCCTATAAGTTCTGGGAAGGACACTGTGAGATGCATGCCCCTGTCAGGGATGGAGGCTTGGGGTTAATAAAGCTGGCATTCATTTCTGAAGGTAAGAGAAATAAGAGTGTCCACCGAAAAGAGGTCCTGAGCTCAGAGCTTACACCTCCCGGGAGCGCCTCTGCCCACAAGAATGTCTCCTTTGCACCATACACAGAAAGGGTATGTGGCTGGGATGATTACACAGCACATGCACAAATGCCCCACGTGCCAAGCTCCGCAAAACGTGCCACATCCTCTAAGCTGTGCTGCTCGGGAAAGGATCTGCTTGTGTGCAGCTTCTACCTGTCTGCGTGAACTGGATTGAAAGAATTCAGAAAACATGCGTGCCGTGCACAGTACGGGGCACTTCTGAGGAGCCGAGAATGAATCAGGCTTGGTCTCGGCTCCCAATTAACTTGCTGCCCACTAGAGAAGGTGACACATGAACATGCTTGAGTGTAATGCAAGGCTCTGACAATCATTAAAGGAAGGAGATCTTCCCTGGGGAGGAGACATTTAGGACAAGACTTCTGGAAGGATAGAAACGAGAGAAGGAAATTTCAGGAGGAGGAACGTGTGTGAGCAAAGGTAGGGAGTGGAGATCAACAAGGGCATGCTCAGGGGATAACAAATGGCCTGTGTTGCCTAATATAGGTGAATATAGGGATGATGAGGCTAAGATATTGGCTTGGGATCAATTTATCAACATCCTTGAAAGCCAACTTAATGCTTTATGGGCATGACCTCTCTGAGTCAGACATGTAGATCTAGCTTTACTGCTTCATAGATGGGCAACCTTGGGCAAGTTGGTTCCTCTCTCAAAGCCTCAGTTTCCTCATCAGTAAAACCAACTCAAAGGGTAGCTGTAAGGAGTAAGTGAAGATATTGCTTGTGATGTGCACAGTAGGTGCCTGCATACAGTAAGTGCCCAACAGATGATCATTGTTAATGTTGTCTGTTCAGACTCTGGGCCTTCTCATAGGATGGATCATTTCTGAGCCAAAGAGCAGCAATGCCTCAGCATTCTTAAAGAGTGGATCAGAAGAGTCAGGTGGCATCAGGAAGACCAGTTGTGAGGCTGTTGCAAAGGCCCAGGTGAGAGCTTACAAGTTCAGAATCCAGGCACCAGTAGAACTGGGGTAAAGAGGAAAGGGGAGGTGGGTCAACAGTACTAGCAGG